AAAACAAGAATAGGAAAAGCCGATTTTAGCGTAAAATGAGAACTGTTATTTTTTGTTTATGATTTTCTATCTGAGTTTCCTTCAAAAACTGTAATTCGAAATGAGAGGTATTTGGCACCGTGTGGTTGGCAGAATCCTGCTAATCTAATTGGTTGAAAGATGATGTCCTTTCAACAAATGGGAAGTCTAAATGCACACAGACCAGTCGTCTGTCAAATATAACCGTTGATGTATCATACAACGTGGAAACTCATCACCGTATCCAAGTGGCTACATGTAGCCACTTGCGTGTAACCCTGTTACACAGAATACTTGCCTTGTCGGAGCCAGATGGTTTATTAGGGACACAGCGACAGCTCACGACCCACGTAGTGAGGCGGACCGTCTTGCAGCAGCACAGATTCCTCGTCGGGGAGTTGGATAAGGCCCTATCGTAGCCACAGTCGGACGCCTGTGGCATACATAAAGTCCATTCCCAGAAGTGCGTCTACTCCTTCGCCAATATTCGCCAGCCAGACATCTACGACATACACCACTTGTAATCCGAGAGCAAACTTCACGTTTACTCCAGCTGAGATATACGTCACAACTCCGCCCAAGCCGGACACCTTGATCGGTTTCGTCAGCATCCGGAACTTCAATTTGAGCTTACGCGCAAAGCCAAACTTACTATACTCCTAGACGCGCCTGTGTCGAGCAAGGTACTGGTCCGAACATTGTTCACCGGTTCGTCTACCATCGCCACGCTATGACTCATTCTTCTCCCACCAACCATATCTCTGTCTGGGCTCCAAAGTAAGTTCGATCGGTTGATCGACATCTGAAGGGTCCCGCCCAACGGTATCACTTCTAGGGTCAACAGGTGCATCTTGAATCATAGAAGTCATGCATTGTTGGTTATCTGGTTTCCTTCTCAGTTCGGGTCTGACGTAAGCTAAGACGCACAATCCTTGCAGTAGTTTCTGCCCGGCGCGTTCTCGATCCCCATCCAGTGGGCTTATTAGTTTGACGACTTCCCTAGATCCCCTTCGTCACCCACTACCTTCCGAATAACGTGAGGTGGCAGGTCTTTCAGCATACATCTCCGAAGAGACTTCACAGCTTCGATGGCTTAGAAAAATCCACAGGTACCTCCGTGATACTTCCCACAGTAAGAGCATATTCGGACCCGACAAGCACAAACAGGATGTTCTTTCTGGCCGCAACGCGCGCACATTACGTCCCTTTAGCAATACTTTCCTTTATGACCCAGCTTTCCGCACTTGTCACACTGAACATCTCTGTCGGGGTTCTCAGGCCGAGGCGAATACCATCCTGGACGAGGCTATTGCCATCCTGATCTAGATTCTGCTGGGGGACGATATCCGATGTCTTCCAGGACAAAATAAATTGTCTGGTGGAGGTCTTCTTCCGACGCCGAATTTTTCGACGTCTCTCCGGCGTCCCTCCATCCGAGGCATCTCTTACAGTCGCCTTGATGATTGATTTCTGGTATTTCATCTCGACTACGTCGTCTTCAAACTGGACGTGATCTTCATGATCACCAACAAATTCCTTCTCACTCAGTCCCACGTACGCACGGC